AAGAGAAGGGGAAGGGAAAGGGATAAGCCAGGTGTCAGCCCCCGAGGGAGGGTCGGGTCTGCGGCAGAGGTGCTGCTGTCACCTAAAGAGCATGAACTGAAATGGTTCCCGATGTCGCCCTGGAGAGTGCAGAGCTCTCGGCGGACAGAAAGGCAAAGTATATGTTGCGTCCATGAACTAGTCAGCGAGGCAGTTAGCCACGGATTTGCTATGTGTAGATAACTGAGGTCTCGAAGGATCTTTGCCTCCCAATTCTGTTCTGCGTGAATGAAAATCATGAACTGGTAAAACTGGAAATGACATGCATGACTAATTTCCTAAGAAGGAGAACTGAGGTCTAGAATGTTTAAGTGACTTGGCCAGAGTCACACAGCTAGTGACAGAAATAGAACTAAAAGCTGGAGCTTCTAACTTCCAAACCATTGCCTTCTCTTCTGTAACACTTCCCACAAAAAAAATAACCCTGATGTTTTTACCTCATGTCATGTGTGCACAAACAGCTTTTAAGTCATCGATGAGGTCACCATAGCTATCAGAACAGTCAAATTGTTTTATTGATTTTTCCAGATTTATAGAGTGGTGATCCACATCATAGAAATTAACTGACTGACTGTACAATGATTTCTCTTGCATCAACCAGGCCTGGAAGGACCATTATTATGTATTAGAACAAGTGAGGCGAGTGTGTGAGTCGCCGTGGCCACATGAGGTTCCAGACAATTGGGACAAACTCTGTTTACATTTACAGTGTCCTCCCTTCACCTAGAACATAAAAACACTTTGTTATTTTTCCACTTGGTGGTGGTGGTGGTGACTACAATCATGACTGTAAAATACAGTTGTCAGAAAAAAAGGACAAATATGATACAGAATTATTCATTCAAATGAGCTAGAACATAAATTCGATTTTGATGCTATGTTTTAGCATCCTTATTTTCCTAGTTTTTTTTTTAATCACATTCACCACATTTCTGTTTATAACACAAGAAGAGACAAGAAGAGAGTATCTTATTTTTCTCAGTTTCTTAAATATTTAGAAGGCCACTAATTTATGTGTCTTTGGTTGTGCTGGAATCTGTCATTGTTTACCCTCCTTGTTGGCATTAATGTAGGACTTTATTCTTTTAATAAATGGTTCTGTATTTATTTTCCATAAAGCTGTTTATCATCACTATGGTCAAGGAACCAATAAACTTGGTACATACTTTCTTATACCTGTTTAGATCAAATTGATGGACAAATCTAATTACTAAGATGGTCCAACTCTTGATAATCTTCAGTGAAAAGTAAGATTTGGATCTGGTTGGGTTAAAGAAAATCTATAGGAACCCCTGGAGAAGGGAGAGGAATTCCCACCTGAAACGAAAGGCCTCTACAAACCTGAGGTGGTCCCTAAGTCTACCTGAGATGGTCCCTAAGTCTATCTGAAGTCGTTCCTAAGTCTACCTGAGGTGGTCCCTGAGTCTTCCGTTAGCATCACATTGCTCTGCATTTCTGAGAACCACAAAGGAAAGGATGTGTTTTGTAACAGCCTCTGGTTCTAATCCTAAGATTCTCTAGTCAGGCTCCACACAAGGCTCAGGTTCAGCGGGCCTGTGGTTGTCCCTCTCCTTTATTGTAGTTGGTGCATTTAAACAACCACAGACAGAAGGGACCAACAAGAGCAATAACTGCTTCACTTGGGCCATATCATTAAAAATGTTTATGGTTTTACTCATTACCCTTTAGTTTGTATTTCGGAAGACTAATAATACTAGTTGGAAAATTGTTCAAAGTAAGACAGTTTTTTAACTCAGAAGTCAATATTTCTGTGTGTCATTTTCACTTAAAAAAAAAGAGAGACATGCGTATACTGACAAAACTTGACTACATGCAAATAGCATTTTTTAAAACTTTACGATGCTTTTCTCCTTGCTTTGTTAAAATAGACTCCTACTGAAAAATCTCATGCTACATGGTCCCATAACCATCACATATATCTCGGAAGCTGATTTTTCTGTATTCTCCAGTTATCCAGAACATCTGTTCTACCCCCCAGCAAGTCAGACTTTCTTATCCTTTATCGGCCACTCACAAAATGCTGTCCTTTCCCTCCTCAAATGAGGTATTTGTGAATTCGCTATCAGTGAGCTCTGAAATGAGGTTTGACTCAAGGCATTTCACGGGAAGCGGAAAGAAATACCATCATGCCATTTTTCTGCATGATCAAGGAAAACATGGCTGACTTCCTTTGCGAACCGTGCAATTTCTCAGGGCTTCTAGAACGGAAGTCCTCACAGACTTGGTGTTGTGAGGACTATCTTTTTTATACTCTGTTAGTTCTGCTCACTTGGGAAGCCCCAATCCCCCAGGCGACTTTCTCCTTCACTAACCTCTAACCTCTCAGCGCTCAGGCACCAAACGCCAGTCATAGAATTCCTCTTTCTACCTTCCTATACCTTAATGTCAGCTTACTTTACATTTCCTGAATGGACACACCATTTTTTTAAAATAAAGGCAGCTTACATTTTCCTTTCAAAGGGTATGTGAAAAAAAGGGGGGCTTTTTTTCTGGAAAAGAGAAGGATTCTTTTTTAAACACCCCGTCTTTATTCAGGTGTAGCCAAAAGTAAAGTTGAATACATGGCCAGGATAGGAAGCAGTTCAAATTTACCTTACATGCTTGCATTTAAGGAGGGCATATTTCATTTGCTAAAGAATTGTTTTAAATGAAATTAAATTTTGAAAACATTCTGGTTCCCCTCCTGAAAAAAAAAAAGTTGATTTTCCTTTGAGTATAGCCTATGACCATTATTTGAAAATAATTTTTGCTGCCTAATTGCTCTGCTTAGCCTTTGAAAATAAAAAACAATTCAAGGGATTGAATTGGGTCCAGATATTATATAATATCAATTAAACGCAATTGCAGAGATATCTGAGCTTATAACCCAAATTTCTTATTCTGAACATAATATTCTTATTCTGAACATAATATTCTGCAGGTTTAGTGTATTTACTCCCCTTAGCTAGGAGTCCCTCCACGCCTTCCAATTCTTGCAGCCGACTTCTTCAACGAGAAGCAGCTCTTAGCTGAGACAGGCCAGTCTTGCCGAGGTCAGGACCACAGCTTTGCTTACCTAACCTCACGTATTACTTATAGTTTGTCCATATAGTTTCCTATTAACTGGCTAAATATCTCAGGTTGTTTGCCATGCTTTAAAAAAAAATCTATTGGTTTAAGATTTTATTCATTCATCAACCATTGATAGAGTTTTCACAAGATAGTAAGTTACAGAGAGCAGGAATCTGTATGTGTTTTCCAAAACCCAGAGCTGTGCCTGGGACAAAATAAGTGATCCAAAACATGTGTCGAATGATCTGGCATCAATTACTGAAGGCAGCTTTATTCATATGAATGGGAAGCAAACGTAAACACAGCCCTGTCCTCGAGGTGCGTAAGTGAGAGAAAAGTAACTGGGATTGATCTTAAAAATAGCAAATTGCAAATGTTATGACAGTAACTATGAAGCAGAGGGACAAAATGCTCTGAGGGTTTCTACGAAAGGGATCTTCACTCCTGGAAGGCATTCAAGAAGGAGTCCCCCCAAAGTGGCTGTAATTGAGACCAAAGGATGATCCACAGCTGGAGGAAGAGCAGAGGAAACAGAGCTGCATCCCATTTAGTTTTACCTCCGTTCTTTCCCTCTCTCTCCGTGCCTCCCTTGGTACTCTAATCCTACTTTTTCTGCTACCCTAGTTTGCTAGCTACTCACGGACTTCTGCAAAAACCTCACATGTATGTAGGGTCTCCTTTTAGGAAATAGCCATAGCAGCTTACTCTTCTTTTAAAATGCCAGTAATTATTTTAGAAACTAAAAATGAAATACGAGAGAGAAAAGTATATTAACAAGAACATCTCCTTTTCTACTTATTTACTGTAACTGTCGTGTGTTAAGGGAAGCACTTCACGATAGGTGCTTAGATTGCGATTGGTTGGGTAGCAGGTTTGTTAGTTGGTTGGCCAAATAGCCGATTAACTGGTTAGCTGGCTGCCCAGATGTTTGTTGGTGGGCTAGCTGATTAGTTGGTTGGCCGGGTGGCTTGTTAGGTGGCTAGATATTGGTCGGCCATCTGTTTAGTTGATTGGCTCTCTGCTGATTGGTTAGTTGGCTGTCTGACCGGGCGGATGTTGGTTGGTTGGCTGACTGGCTAGTTGGTCGATTGGGTGGTTATTTGGTGAATAATGGGAATGGTAGTTTAGCTTCAACTTTAAAGTCAGATTTAATTTTATTCAGATTCTGACCAACCTTTCACTAACTCTGTGATAGTAAAACAATTCACTTAAGCTCTATAAGTCTCAGTTTATTCTATGAAATAGTATTTTTCTCTTAGGGTCATTGTAAGGATAAAGGTAATACTGCATGTAATGCTTTAGCATGGCACCTAGATTATACTGACTTCATTAGTATATATTCACTATTTTAAAGAAAAGAAAGAAGCTTGAGTGTTATTGCCAAATTAGAAACCAAATTAGTGAAAGCAAATGCTTATTCTGTTTAAATTATGGTCCCATCTATCTTAGTACTTCAAATTTGTTTTACCACTGCAAATACGCATCTTTAACAGATAAATGGTACACATACCTAGGAAGGTGATATAACATACAGAAGATTCACAAGCACAGAAGCAAACTGTTTTTTTTTTCTTTACAGATCAATACTTAATTCTTTCCCACCTCTGTCTCTCACTCTTCCTCATTCCCTTATCATTGAATCATTGCAGCACTCATTAAAATAGTAACTTAGCTTTTACAGTAGATATATTATTTCTTGATGTGGGTGATGGTAGTTACCCAGGAGCTTGCTTTGTAATTATTTGTTAAACTGAACATGTATCTTTTATGCATTTTCCATTATTGACACTGACACTTAAGCATACACAACGGGGGCCAAATCATCATGTAAGAATGTGATAGAATAGGCTAGTACAGACCAAATATAAACCTCGAGTGGGTCTACATAAGCAAAGGAAAGTCCTAAAAATTCCAGACGGAAAGGAATACGCAAGCAGCAAACCCCACTTGTGAAAAAGAGGAGATGAAATTTATTCAACTACTTCAGATTGACTATCTCTATGTCACAAAGTAAGTGAAGAGAGGAGCGAATTACTAAACTTTGTTTATTTGCTAGTCTGTGCAGATACAACTTGTGCTAAAGTTCCTGGAGAGCAGGGTCTTTCCATGTCACATGCCACTTGCTTAACTTCAGGCATGAAGAGCTTCTCTGGGTCACGGCTCTCTAACGGGCCTCAATTGCTGGGGCCTCTGCACAGATATCCCTCACCCCACCTCCCAGCATCATGGTTAACATTCATGCCACTTGGGCATGATTTCAGTGGTCACTGCCCTGGTTTATTCAATGTCATCAGAAACAAAGTCAAGAATTATAGATCTTCGTTACTAACAAGCAGCTTTTGGTTTTTCAGCGCCGACTGGGAGATGCAGCAAAGAAAGCGATCAGCAAGCTCCAGGTCAGGACCATCAAGAAGGGTGACAAGGTAAACAGCCTCTTTCTTTTCATTGAGGAGCTATTCAGAGGAGCTCCCGGCTTTGCTGGCATTCAGGGTAGGAGAGAGAGAAGGATGGGAAAGGATCTGTTACTATACCCATCGTTATTAAATATAATTTAAAGCAGTTTATAAAATGCATACAATAGGACATCAAAGTAGTTGGATAGAAATTACGAGAAATTAAAAAGTAAGTGTAGGAAAGAAAAAACTGATGAAGCTAGGATGAAATTAGTACACAGATGCATTATCTGAAACGTACAACAGAAATGGGTCTCAAATTTACGATGGGGCTTTCTAGCAGCCAGTGCAAAGAAGGAAGCAATGGTCAACTTTCAGACAGCATCCGGCTGCCTTACTCCATTGTCACACGGGTGAACACAAAATGGCTGTTCCTGGTATTACAACTTGAGAAAGTTTTTCCTTGAATCCTTGCAAGGAAGTCAGCGAGCGTTGTGTGCTGAGTGATGCTCTCTCCTTAAGTCTGCAGTCAATGAGGGGAGCATATTTCGTGCCTCTGAAATCTAGCAAGCGGAACCCCAGAGTCACTGCCACAGCCTCCCTCGCCGTAGGGTGACGAGATAAAGCCAAAAGCAGAAGCGTAGCTTGAGGAATAACAACCACGCAGTGTGGTCCATGCTCAGGCCTCTAAAGCTCTATCTCCTCCCCAGGAGAAATTTTAGAACAGTGGCTTGTGACACGGATTTGGGCGTCCTGGGAGCTTCGTAAGGGATTCACAATTCTACGTGTGTACTGGGTGTTGTCTCTAGTCTGAATAATTGATTTTTCTCGCTAATTATGTGCCGTTGTGTTTCGACTATATAAAACTGCTATCGGGCTTAGTAAGATACAATTCATTTAAAATCACTACTAAATTGAAAGTATTTTTTTCATTACTTTCCCCTTTCAAACAGAGAATAATAAAAGAACAAGGATTATTATATAAGTAATACTTTATGAGGTATTAAAGGAATTTATATACTTGGGGGAAAAAAGTTAGAACCACTGTTTTAGACTTGAGTACATTATATTCCCATGGAATGGATGAATTCAATATCATTGAATGATAAATAATTTTTATACTCCATAAATAGTATTTCTCATTCTCGAGTTTTTGATGTCACCTCTAATTATAATAAACAGCATTATTAGGGTGGTACATTAAAAAATCATTTCCTCACAAAAGCACATCCAGTGGAACCCAGAAACAGAAAGTGGGGGTTGGAAGGAATGGAAACTAAGCCAACACACGATAAAGTATTGATTAATAAAATTGGCCCCAAGACTGCCGAAGCCTTGCTCCAGGCAAGCTCTCCTTTGTCCTGCTGGTTGGGGGTGTCGCACAAGAGGCAAAGCTGCGGAAGTGGGTTCATCTGTGCTCTCTCTCTCCGTCGCAGGAAACAGAATCCGACTTTGACAACTGCGCAGTTTGCATTGAAGGCTACAAGCCCAGCGACGTTGTCCGGATCTTGCCCTGCCGGTGAGTCACTGGGCTGCGTTTGACCGGGGCTGGTGTGGCGAGTGCCTGCTGGTCTCGGGCTGGGATCTGCTTGCTAGGCCATCCGCCCAGACATTTTCGTGCTTCGATATCAAACCACCGAAAAGCTTGTTCTTTTTTGTCTAACCTTTCTCCTTGAAAACATAGTGTCTTGTGACATTAGAAATATTTTTCCGATCCTCTTTGCACCAAAGGAAGTATATACTGCTATGAACTAGAACCTCATGATACAGTCTGACGATGTGGCTCTCATTACAAGTTTTCTGTAACAACAGATCTGTGATATTCAGAATCAGTTCTTGCTTTGCTATGTTAATTAAATTAATAAACTCCCTAAAATATTTTATGAATGATCACAGAGGGATCAGCAGCCAGGATATGGTCGAGACTGAGTGAGAAGCCAAAGGCAGATTTCATTTTCCTTGTTTCTTTTACTAATAGGAACAGAATGTGATAGTCCCCCTGCCCCCGCCCCCCAAACTTCTAGAATCTAGGAAAGAATGTCAACATGTGCAGTTGGAAAAATTCTCCAGGTGATTCTCATATAACCCTCATCCCTCTCCCTTGTTGAAATTTACTGTTAAAGTGTCTGAATTTTTCTTCTATGGTTAAAATTAAATAATTTTAAATACTTCAATTAAATTATTTTAAAGTTGCCTAAAAGCTATCTTCCTGTAATTAAAAACTTTTTTTTAGTGTTTCTGCATCTGTGCAAGTGTCCTAAAAATAAAAATTAAATTCTGCCTTGAACACACAAAGACATAAAACATACCATTCATTTATAAAACAATGCATCTTTGAGAACTGTTTATTAGAAATACAAAAGAAATAAAGTACGCCTTGAAAGGAATTGGTTTAATAATCCCAAAATGACAAAAACGTGACCAAAAAACAAAAAAGAAAGGATACTCAAATAAATGCAGAAACTCTCAAGGGGAATGGATCTTCCTTGAAATGCTTTTAGGCAAATCCATCGTTAGACATCCAGGCCTGAGGACCGTGTGCTCTGGTGGCCCCAGCCAAGGCCTCCAAGTGAGATTTGCTTTCCTTGGTTCACAGATGTTCAACTATCTCTAAGACAAAATCATAAATCGAGCACCTAAAGACTTGGTAGTTTTCATGTGAGGGTACTCTACATAAATTCTCTCTCTAGAAAGTATTTTTGGTGTTTACTTGATGACTTCTAGAAACAATGGCAGAGAATGGCAGTATGTGAACCACAGAGAGCCTCTCAGAGTAGCATCTTTCATCTCTGCAGATTTTATCGAGGGCTTTATAAAGCCTGAGTGTTATAAGCAAGGAAAGTGCCTTCCTTTATTTCGAAGATTGTTTAGAGCCCTGTGAGGCTGCTACTACTAAAAAATATCTGAAGCAAATTAAATAGCAACTTTTTCCTGAGAATCCAAAGAACTTTACAAATGTAATTAAGAAAATGTTTTTAACAACTATTTAAACACAGCGTTACTTTAGCTCCGTAATGCATACAGTATAAAACAGCTTGTTCATGTAGAGCTCTATCGTGAGTATATTTCATGTTACTGTGTACAGTTGCTGGAGATGGTGTGATGTCCAAGCCATAGACATACCACGTACTTGACCATGCCCTGCTGTGGACCACTCAGCTGATTTCAGTTTTTACTTATGACAAACTACATTGCTTTAGCAATATTAAGTTTGTCATGAGTTATTATTCCAGATCTGCTTTTACAGTATAGTATTTAGAACTTTTCACCAAGAAAAAAATAACATTTTACTATTCACCCCCCCAACACACACACACACACAAACACACATATACACACACACACACACACACACACACACACGCACACACACAAAACTCCAGCACTTCAGGAACTTTCATTTTATTTATACTGGCCTTTGCCCCAGGCTCATTCAGTTTGGCCTCAAGCTCTTCTTTTTACATCATTTTTCGATTCTCAGCTCACTCCTTGCTTCAAGCTCTTTACCATCCATCTGCTTTTGTTTCCTTATTATGGGCCCTGCTTTGAATAGCAAAGAGCCTTGAGCATTGGCAAACACAGGTCATAGTTAATCACTGCTTGATCTTAAGACTCACCACACATATCCACTCTTTGAAGAGCTTATATTTTTTTTTTCCATGCTGACTTTAATATCAAGATATTTTTATGCCTGTCGCTAGTTTTTGCCAGACAGGTTGCGCGCTAATGGATGTTATCAAACAAATACACTGGCATTTGCTTTTTGCCAGATAATTTCCTCCGGGGTATTATTAAGCCTTTGCTCCTATGAACTTCATAGACTCTCTTTCCCATTATTTCCAGAGTGACTCATCCATCCACAGAATTCTTTGCATCTCCTTGGAGTAAAAACTGTTTCAGAAATATTCCAGTTTATTGTCTTCCTTCTCATACTCTTATTTTGTGGCCTCCTGACTCCTGACACCCTGGGTATATCTCTGCTCCATCATTGCCCCGTGGGGTGTCTTTCCGTGTCACCCAGGGACATTCGTGTATCACCATGTTTTCAAAGTCATTCCTTTGTTTGGAGACCCTTGCACAAGTTCGGATGAACTCGATTTCCCTTCTTTATCTGTAGTCATGGTGATTAAGTCATGTACATACATACCTACCAGCTCCAAGTACGAGTTGGCTTTAACAACCGACATGTGATATTCAGAATCGATTCTTGTTTTTACAATTAAATTAATAAACTCTTTAAAATATTTTATGAATGATCATGAAGGGCTTGATACCCAGAATATGATCGGCAATCAGTAGGAAGCCAAAGGTAGATTTCATTTTCCTTGATCTTTTTGCTATCAAGAAGAGTATATGACAGTCCCCCCAAAACTTCTAGCATCTACAAAAAGGGTGCCAGCTTTGTGTGTGTTTTATTTTTAATTTAGGCTTGACTTTTATTAACAGAAGAACATGTCAATGAAGTGACTTAGATTTTGATTCAAGAATCTAATTTAAATTAACTGAAAATTGGTTTTTATATAGTTAATTCAAAACCTGACAATGATAATTCTACGTATTTGTAGTATTATTATTATTGCTTCTGCTATGACACTAATGTGGCATTGTTCCTCTGATAAGTATTATTAGAACTATTTCCGTCTCTATTACCATCGTTACTTCATTAGCGGTATCAAGTCTTTCCCATCTTCCCGCAGTAGCTTTCTCACTAAGCTCTCTGCTTCTGCTCCTGCCCCTTAATTATTCATTCTGACAAGTCTGTCTTTAATTATCCAGCTAGATTAGCTTGATCCAGGTACTTTTTCAGCTAGTACAACTTTAAATTCATTAAATGTATCAGAAGTATGACAGATAAATTATTCGGGAGAAGAGTAATTGAAATATATTTCGGTCCTCCTATTTCTCTAAGTCGTACTTCTGTAACAAGTTAGATTTACAGAAAACTAAAAATGTGCATGATTACCTGTTAGCTTACAAGAGAACTGAGTTGGCTACTGCAATTTTCCTCACTTTTATCAGGCGTCCTGTAAGGAACAACCTTAGGAAGCCTCCATTGCGTCTCTTTTAGTATTTTGTAGTCTTTTCCATGGAGACTGGCCAGAGCAGTTCAGTATAGAATAACTGCATTTCTCCCAAGCAAGGGTATGTGAATGGTGATACAACTCAGATTTTTTTCTATGTTTGTTGATAGAAAGCTAAGAGCCAAATCTGTGGCCCACGCATAGCTAAAAGGTACTTTGTAGTGTTATTCCTGACTTTTTTTATGCTTCCATTAGTATTTTTCTTTTTTCTTTTGCTCTTCTTATGCTATCTTTTTGGAGATCTGCACCTCCTGAATCACCTTAAGTCCTTTCTAGAATAAACATTTTCCATGTCTTTAAAACTTTGTCAACATCATTTTAAATTGACATATAATATCCGATATGCCATAATTATTTGATTGTTTTTAGACATTTAACTACCCCCCAACACACACACACAAACTTTTTTTTTTTTTTTTTTTTTTTTTTTGCTATTATAAATAAGGCTATGATAAATAGCTATTGTGTGTACACCTTAGTTCACATTTTGGACTCTTTTTTTCTAAGGTTAGGAATTTAAATTGTCTCATTGTTTTCCATGAAGTTATACTGAAAGAGTTTTCCAGTCAGTCAGAGCTAAGAAGAATATTTCAAGCAAAAGCAACGAGTGGTAACCTGGAATGGTTAGCGTGTGATGCACGTCAGGATATTCGTGGAGAAGAAGGCCGGCCCAGGTCATTTAGGACTTGAAGGCCCAACTAAGGAACCTGGATTGTCGCCAGGAGCTTGGGGACCTGCTGAGGGGTTCAGCTTGTGCTCCATGCTTGAAGGGATCTGAATGGAGTCAGAGAGACCAGTGAAGGGACTGTTAACCTAAAAAATAAAAGGCTTCAGTGAAAGGCAACAAATATTTATTTGAGATAAAAAGGAATAGCTATTTGGAAAACACAGATTCGGGCAGAAACTCAAATAGTGTTCCAAAGAGGAAAGAAAAGTTAAAAGTTTTTATACTAAAAAGTACATGCTTGAGAATTATCAATCCTGAATTCTTAGCCCTATAGGATTGGTCCAGGTTGGTTATCAGTGACCACATCAAGTGGTCTGGGTGATGGATGCCACGTGGTCCGGAAGATGGTGCCTGGAGATCTGCTCACATCCAGCAGTCTGGATAATGGATGTCAGGTGAATGTATATGTGAGTCCTGCAGGGTGTAATCAGGTGGCCTGGATACACGAGTCCTTCGGGGGGCAATTCGTGTGTTGTTATCTGGAGGTCCAGATGTGTATCCAGGCATTGATGCAGGACTAGAAAGTCAAAAAAGCTTTAAGTTCCCAGGCTAGTTAGGACAAAGGTAAAGTCTTCCCTCATGTCACAGCCTTCACGGTGTTACTGGCGGCCCGAACAGGAGTGTTGGCGCTGGGATATAGGGGGAAGAACCTAGTCAGGAGAGATTCAGGAGGAAACCCGACATGAGTCAACATCTGGAATAGATGAAAAT